TACCAAAATTTGAATTGAATCGGCTTAGGCCTTTCACTCATGTACATAATTACCGTTCTCTTTTAGGACCAGTTGTGTCTCTTCCTTCATGGCGCGTATTTCCTTGACAGGTACGACCAGAATTATATCATAATGTAACACTTGATACCAGAATAGTCCTGTTTGCTTCCAACGTCCGTTTTGCTCACAATGTAATTCACTCAATAGCTTCATAACCGGACATTTACCTTGCAAAATTTTCGCCATTTTTTTCTTCTCGCCCCAAAAGGTAATCCTAACCAATTTCTTCTTCAAAACGATCTGTGTTTGTACTCAAACAGCTCAAAACCACATGCATGTTTGGTTGCACTTAAATGCATGCCTGCTTTTCCTATCACTTTAGGCTCGCCCAAAACACCAGAACACTCCAAGTGGCTTCGACAATCCAGTTGTCCCATGGACACCACCAACGGCGCCGACCAGTTCAAGCCTTCTGCTTACAATAATGACCAGTTCAAGCCTTCTGCTTACAATAATGACCAGTTCAAGCCTTCTGCTTACAATAATGACCAGCTCAAGCCTTCTGCTTACCAATAATGACCAGTCAAGCCTTTCTGCTTACATAATGACCAGTCAAGCCTTCTGCTTACAATAATGACCAGTCAAGCCTTCCTCGCTTACAATAATGACCAGCTCAAGCCTTCTGCTTACAATAATGACCAGCTCAAGCCTTCTGCTTACAATAATGACCAGCTCAAGCCTTCTGCTTACAATAATGACCAGCTCAAGCCTTCTGCTACAATAATGACCAGCTCAAGCCTTCTGCTTACAATATGACCAGCTCAGCCTTCGCTTACTAAAGGGCGTCGAATGTTATAGAGCCGCGGGCGCACGCAACGTCTCTCTCATCTGTCTCTTTGTAAAGGAATTTTTCTGTTATGGAAGCGGCGCGGATGTCCGCATGTTAGGCCTAGGAGGTATGGACAATGACTTGCTGTTCAAGTTGGACCGCAGTGAGAGGTTCATGTCACTCGTGGCCTTGCCAGTGGAAGATGTTAAAGGAGCGCTGGAACTCACATCTCCAAACTTGATGCCGAATCAAATTTTTAGTGGGCTTGATACGCATTGCACGTGTCTATGTCATTATCCTTGGTATCAAATGCAACCTTGTTTTTTCAATGAAAATGTCGGGAGAAGCCAATTGGGACAGACGAAGAATTGATGCGCAAGGCTTTTTTTGAGCGGGGTGTTTGCGATGAATGCTTTTTTGCGTAGCCGGCATAATTTTCGTATGTTTTTTTTTGAAGTGTATTGGTGTTTGTTGCCGGCTTGGAGAAGCCAAGTTCAGCGGATTAGTGATAGTGTTTTAAGTCAAGTTTTAATGATGAATCAAACCATTTAAAGCGACGAGAAGCGTTCGTCTCCAATTTCGTGGCAGATCTGGAATACAGGCCATATGCAGTACTAAACGTATGCAGCAGCCTACAACGCTGGCATTTTGAGGCTTAACATACTGAAGCTTTCTTTGCTTTCTACTGAACGTAACTTTCTTGCTATCCCAACCTTATTTTTCGAATGACACCTCCAACTCAAAGCAAAGCGCTAATGGCGCTCTTTTAAAACGATCGCACTGGTCACCAGCTTTCACCTGATATGCCCCTCCATTTCTCAACTTTTCACAAAATGATGCCCGTAGCCTCTCGTCTGCAGTGTCAGGTCATGTCATTTTGAATAAACCGTTGCATTGAACCACATCACAATGACGATAAAAGAGAGACATTTCGCTGATCTTATCATACGGTTTTAACTGTAGATTTTCCAGTGGATTACAGCCCATGCTAGGCTTCTCACACAGCTGAACTATCACACTAGCTTGTGCTGGCACACAAACCCAAATGCAATGCAATGCAATGGGCGCATATAACATAAAATGCATGATGCCTTGCTTTCTTTTTCTTCCTTTCTCTCCTCTCCGCAGCAGGCTATTATTGAATCGACAAACATAAAACACCTTTTTTTCTAAAACAATCGGAAGCAAATTGGGAGTGGTCTAAACACGTGGTCAAAGGTTTAGGGTTTTAGGGAAAAGTAGGGGTCGCTCTGTTAGCTGAGCCTCTCTTTACCCCACCCCCACCCCTTACTACTCCCTCTTGCTCCTCCCACTCTCTAACTCCCCTCTCCCCTCCCCCCCACACCACTTCTAACCTCAAGCCATCCCTGCCCAAAACCCTTTTTGGGACTTGCTTTTTGCATTCTGTGTGTTGCTGGTTACCGAGGTAGCAAGTCCCAGAGGCGAACGGTGGTCACCAATGAATCTTTTGATCACAGATCGAAGCCCTTTATTGGTCGCTTTACGCCTGAGGTTAAATGGGTTAACGGAAACCCTCCCTTTTGAAAAACATGAACCTTCCATAATCATTGTACACGTAGGACCTGTCCAGACAGAGCTCAGGCCGCAAAGTGAGCCATGGCTACAACGACCAATGCCACTGGGTGTAGGCAAGAAGGATCAACGCTGAGCTACACTATCATCCATGACTCCAGCTGCCAGGAGTCGTCTTTCTGGCGTGCATGATCACGCCGCGCCGAGCCGGTATGGCCCGGTCCGATCCGGCATGACCTGGTCCGAGCCGGTATGACCCGGTCCGAGCCGGTATGGCCCGGCCCGATCCGGTATGGCCCGGTCCGATCCGGTCCGTCCAGTTCGCCCGGCTGTAGTCACATCCGCAGTGTGCGAATGTATAGCAACTCCGCGCTCTTTTTATGGCATCTCATGAAAAAGACGGTTACGAGAACCACGTTTTTGACGGACCAAAGATATCATCACAAAAGGAATGAAGTCTTTGGTTCAGGAAAGCTCGGTTATCCAATTTGATGCCGAAAGTTCAGCTCGTCTTCATATTTCCAGTCATGGTATTGTGTTCTCTACATAATGTTCTTTTCTGATCTAAACATGTGCTATGGTTGCAGAGTTATTACCATGTCACTTAGCACATTTC